AACACCAGCATTGTGTTTGCTGTCGGAATATAAGGGATCATTAAAGAAAAGGTAACATTGACTTTGCTGCTCCTTTAGTTATATTATTTTGTTCTGCTGGTTTGCATTAAAACGACTAAAACACACACACACGCGCGCACACACACACACACACACACACACACACACACACACACACACACACACACTCAAGGCTCAAGGGCTGTTTATTTAATTGCACCTACTGAGTTTTATGATCCAGTTAACAATCATATTTATTTTGTGAGGGTTTCTTTTAACGAAAGCGAACCCTTTCTAAAAAAATAGGCCTCTAGTCCTATTTCAGCTTTTCTTTGAGGACTAGGAAAACATCAAATTTAAGTAGGCCTACGAAATGAAAGAACTTGATGAAACAATTACTACTTTGAAACAAAAGAATTGGGAAGTCGGCATCCAGCGCCTTGTTACGATTTTTCTCAACTCTTGAGTAAGTCGTGAATCGCATGAATAATGAAAGTAAGAATGCACGCACAGTAATAGTAATTCAGTTTAGTTTGTGATGTAGTGTAATAACATGCTTCAACTTCCCCATGGCGCATCGGACCTCCACATTACGACCTGCTTATGCTTCACTTATAATCAGGACATAGAGCTGATCATGTCCGCCATTTAGTTTCAGCCAGTGAATAGGGGATATTTATGTTGCGATAGATAACAACAAATAAGATGTAATCTCACAAAAGGCATTGTAGTAGATTATTTGGTATGAAGAATATACTTATGTAGATTTTAATATTAAAAAGTAGATGCCTCTAGTGTGTTTTAACACAAAAACTAGTCAACATTTCTAAACTCGGTCCTTACCTCCCTTCTCAATCTCGAATACATTTATTTGTCAAGTTGCTTCCCATGCTGAATGTGTGTTTCTAATTATATCGAGATTGACAACGGCAAACTACCCAGAGAGACCCATTGAGCCTTCCACTACCAGCCAAGACCGACAACTAACAAGATGGGACATTTCTTCTTTTCGTCATGTGCCAAGAGTAGGCCCCTCCCACTTTTGAATCGGCACACAGGCTTGCAACTTGTAATCTGCTAGGCTAAATCTGTTGTGTGCACTGACCTCTAAAGATATTTTTAGATCAGTGGTTTTGTGTGTGTGAGTGTGTGTGTGTGTATGTGTGTGTTGGG